CCCTCTCCACACCATGAGGGAAAAGCAACTGCCCAAACCGGTCTTGATTCTACTTTTTCTGCTCCTTCCCAGTGATGCTTCAGCTGCTGCAGAACCGTAAGCAATATTTCCAGGAAATTCTACCTTCCTTCTTCTTTCCTACTGTTATCTCCTTGATCATTATTTCCTGATTTCTCTTGCAATTTAATTTTCTATTGTTGAAGGGTCAGCCGGTTATTGTTGCTCACATGGAAAGAGATATACTCCAATTCTAGAAAACTCAAAGATGGGGGGCAGTAACCTTTGTAAAACATTTACCAAGTAAGAATATAGAATTCCTACCAGAAAAAGAAACATATTTTATCAGTTCATAAAATGGCCGTCAGCCTCTTGACCACTGCAAAATGTCTCCGTGTCTGTGTTTTCCCCAAGTCAAGGATTGCCAAGATTTGTGTGTCAGTTCATTCAGTCTCTCAGCAAATGTTTAGGAGCTAGCATTAGGCCTTGGGAATATAAAGATTAACAAATTTCAGAGCCTGCCCTCCATGTCTCACAGTATAGAAAAAGTAGAGAAATGATACACAGAGAATTAAATATAACACAACAATAAAAGCAGACATTTCAGGAATCTGTAAGAATACTTGCAAAGAAAACCCAAGCCCAAGGTAAGGGAGCAGGCATCACCAAATTATGCACAGAGAAAGTGGTTTTTGAGTTAAATCTCATAAGGCAACGGAAGTTTTTCAGATAGACAAGGACACTGAGGAAGAGAGGGAAGTGTGTGCAAATATACAGCATCACAAAGTGCAGCCTACTTGGGTGATTGTAAGTGAACGCCAAGCAATGGCAGGAGAGTGGTATGTGGTGCACATTAGTGAATGTGGTAATGTATTGGGTAATTAGCCTAGCCTCATCTTCAATCACCAGAGAGTTAAACAAAGACAAGACAAGATTGCTTCCAGAGCTGTAGTGAAAAGCAATTCAGCTCCTCCCTGTGCATTAAATGTTATTTTTCTAGTGTTTCCTGGAACAAAGAGATTTGTGGTATCATCCATATGAAAGTGGGGACCACATGTAGACATGTTCTCAACACTTTTGATAATTTTTTGATTAATTCACTTTTTGTAAATATCTATCCAAAATATAGAATAACTCTCAGATTGCTTACCCATGGCTATTAACAGATCTTCTCATACTATGAAGGTAAATATTTTCACAAGAGAAGCATGTCGATGTTTAATTTGGGATTTTCTGAGTTCCCCAGGTCATTTGAGTTGGGCTTTGAAGCATAATCTTCTGCTGAAATCTGGCTGTGTTCTCTAATAGGTGACAATAGCAAGGATTATCTACAAAACAGCCACAATAATGATGTCTTTTTAACCCCTCCATGATTTTTTTTTATTTATTAAATTATAGCTGTGTACATTAATGCAATCACAGGGTACAGTGTGGTGTTTTCATATACAATTCGAAATACTCTCATCAAACCGGTTAATATAGCCTTTGTGTCATTTTCTTAGTTATTAAGAAATTCATACTCTGCTTTTAGAAAGACTCACTTGTATCCTTGTAAGATAAACCATAGAGATGACCCCACCAATCACCCTCCCTCCACCCACCCACCCATTTCCCCTCCCCTAACCCTACTATGATTGATACAGATCCCTCTTCACAGGCAGTACATGGTGCTGGTCCCATCAGAGCTCTACACCGGAGTTCCTGCAAAGGCCTGTGTCTTCCTTAATCACCTGAATGAGAGCGTGACACTGAATGTGACTCTAGAGTATGGAGCACAGGAGAGTAGGAATCTCCTCACAGACCTGGTGACTGAGAGAAACTCTTTCTACTGCAGCCCCTTCATTGTAAGTGTCACTCCTTAGGATAAGGGCAAGGGGTAAAGAGAGACCATATTGGATACCTTGTGTTTTGACCCCTTAAAAAAAAATAAAAAATGTATAATGAAGGAAAATGAGGAATACAGAATGAATTTCAAATTAGATTCTAAGACAGACAGTTGTACCTAATATGTGCACATAATATTTATAAACATTTCTAGTGCAACATATGAAAGGTAACACTAGCTATACCAAGGATTTAATTTGCTCTTAAGGTAAATCTCTGAGGTAAGTCATATTCATGCCATTACAGATATAAACACTGAGATTCATAAAGTCAAATAACTCATCTATGATTGCAGATGGTTGGTGATTGATGTATTGTCCTTTTATTACTTAAATACTTAATCATGCCGGCTCACTACAAATGATAATCTATAAAGTTATTTGTTGTTGACTTTTGAAAAATAAAATTTGATAATTATTTTAGTTCCACCATATTGCTGTGAAAGGCATGCACCCCATTTCATTTACTGTCATGGCTGAATTGAAGAATTAGTTCATTTCATTCCAAGTATATTTCCTCCTTTGATCAAATCAGTGAATTGTTACCATCACATTTCACAATCCTAATTATCTACTTATAAAACAGGGGCATAATGCTTGACTTTGTCCCTTACTAATTCACAAGGACTAACCAGGAAAACAGAAAACCATAAAGGCAGAGACATTGGAAATGAATGAGTCAGAGACCATTCTTCAGTTCATGTCTGTTTTACAGAGTCCAGAGTCACCATATTCCCCAGCGTTCATTGCTGTTGAGGTGAAGGGTCCAACTCTGCATTTCATAAAGAGGAAACCAATGAAAATAACCAAAATATGGAACCCAGTCTTTGTCCAGACAGACAAACCCATTTATAAACCAGAACAAACAGGTAAAAGGAGCCAAATGAGCAAGGAAGCTTTAGGGGAGGGAGGAGCTTCATTATTCCTTTATGCTGCAATCTTGGACATTCTGGCATGCTGTTAATAGCCTGGGTTCTCATTGTGGATTTCATAGGAAAATCTCTGTCTTTCAGTGAAATTCCGCATTGTCTCTATGGATGTCAATTTTCGCCCTGTGGATGAAATGGTGAGT